CTGCGACGCCTGATCCTACAGGCCCTAAGATTCTAATCGACGGGGGCCTGGGACTGGGATGATGTAGGACCCTGTAACGGGGACTGGGAAAGCTTGCAGTGTGAATCCATTCGCTCCCGCCGGCCTAATTTTGAGGTCCTCCGAGAAAAATCAGAACTTTAGCGGTCATAGATGTTCAATCCTCTGTGTGCCCGCTCGTAGTATGACACTATACGAGGGGCTGTCTGAACTAACTCATCCCTGGTGAACCAGCCATCTTCGCTGGGATCCTGATAAGCAAATCTGACCTTGTATTGTCTCTGCGGCCTCCCTCTACGACCTGTACGGAAGGTGTCCTCAGCTACAATCTTCTCGACATCATATCTTCCGTCCATATCAGGTGGAATCATAGATCTGCGCGAGGGAAATACATCATTAGTCACATAGGGAAGGAGCTTAGAAGCATGAAAAACGGGATAGGTGTGCAGATGGGGTGGAATCTCGATGGTGTATGACGGTCCACCTGCGTCACCTTTGACATCTAGCACTTGCCACGACCCTCTGTAGGCAGGTAGCAACTTCTGCGAAATCCCTTCCTCGGGAATAAACTCTTTAGACTTGACCAGACAAGATCACCTATCGCAAACTGTGACGGACGACGGTGCTTGTTTGCCTATTCCATCATTTGATACTGGGCCTTCCGGATGTTCTCAGCCACACGTTGCAAATCCTTCTCATACTGAATGGCAAACTCACGTGTGCCAGGTGGCAGTCTCTGGATCTGATCCGGATTCAAACAGTCTATGGGACGTCGGGGACTCCAGCCTCTATGGAGCTCGTTCGGGGTCCGCGAGGTAGCTAGGTGAACCGAGTTGTTATACGCACTAGCTACTTTGGGAAGATGTTCATCCCAATCTACCTGATCTGGTCTAATGTCCATACGCAGTACTTGCTGTAGAATCTTGTTCATCTGCTTGGTCTGGCCATTTGTCTCAGGGTGGCGACCAGATGACATAGCTAACTTAGATCTGTAGACCTTCATTAACTGCTGCTACTGTTCCCCTGTGAACCGGGTATCTCGGTCACTAACTATGCTCAACGGGTGACCGGAATCCTTGACCCAATGATTAAAGAACTCTTTGATGACCAGATCTGTCTTTGCTTCAGCAGGTAATGGTACAAAAACGGCGAATTTACTATACCTGTCAACTACGACCATGACCTGACTCTTCCCACTACGACTCTTGGCCTTAAGTGTCCATGAAATCTATAGATACAGATTCACCGGGACCAGATGGGATAGGCAAGGGTTTCAACAGTCCAAGGGGAGGCTGCGTGGAACTCTTGTTCCTCTGACATACTTGGCAGCCTTGGATGTAGGTGATACAATCATGCTTCATGCCTGGCCACGTGTAGGACCTTAGTAGGGTAGCATAGGTCTTCCGCCAGCCAAAGTGGCCTTCAGTATCGTGGCATTCCCCTAGGATCAGACTGGGTACCTCTTCATTACACGGTATGCAGAGCCTATCATGCACATCAGTCTTTTCAAACAGCAGTCCATCGGCCATTCTGAAATCAGCGACTTCTTGAGGTGTGGTCTGCACCTTCTTTATCAGCGTACTATACACGAGATCATCATTGTATGCAGCCTTGATCTTTTGCTGCAGATCTGTGCCAACGTCTACGTAAGTCACTATTGCACCAAAGAAATCTGCACGTCTGCTCAATGCATCAGCAACGACATTGTACTTACCCTTGACTGGTTTCAACTCAAAATCAAACTGATCAATCTCGCCAGCCCACCTAGTCAACTTAGGAGTCATGCGGGCTTGGGTCTTCAACCAATGCAGAGTTTCATGATCTGAGTATACCTTGAAGTGTCGTCCTAGCAGGTAGTGTTGCCAATGGTCTAAAGCCTGTCTGAGGGCGAAAAGCTCACGGTCATAAGTTGATGCTGCTACCTTCTCACTAGGGAGCCTGCAAGACATGAACTCAACGGGCCTGTACCCATCTCCATCAATCTGTTGGAGAACAGCGCCAATGCCGTAGTGGCTAGCATCGGTAGTTACAACAAACGGTAAGGATGGATCAGCTACTTTAAGGACCTAGTACTCGATAAGGGACTTCTTCAACTTCTTGAAGGCTGATGTACAGTCCTTGTCCCAATTCCAAACAGTTTCCTTTCGCAGCAACCGACGCAAAGGAGCAGCAACAGAAGTGAAGTTACGAACGAACTTCCGGTAGTAGTTGGCCAGTCCTAAGAACGACCGCAACTCAGTCAACGTGTGCGGGGTTGGCCAGTTACGAATTGCTGCTATCTTGGCGTCCTCCGGTCTCACTCCATCTCCATCTACCACGTGTCCCAAATACAGGACTTGACGCTTGGCCCACTCACACTTCTTCGGGTTAATCTTAAAATTAGACTCACGTAATTTGGTCAATATCTGACGTAGATGATTCTGATGCTCCTCCAAGCTCTTGCTAAAGATCAGAATATCATCTAAATAAACTACAACAAACTTATCCAACCAATCTTTAAACAGATCATTCATGCATCTTTGGAATGTTGTAGGAGCATTGGTCAACCCAAACGGCATCACAACAAACTCGTAGTGACCATAGCGAGTCCTGAAGGACGTCTTGTGCTGGTCCTCCGGCTGTACCTCAACCTGGTGGTACCCGGACTTCAGATCTATCTTGGAGAAATACTTACATCCCTGCACCCTGTCTAAGAGGTCATCAATCTGGGGCAACGGTTCAGCATTCTTGACCGTGATAGCATTCAATCCCCGATAAACAATGCACAACCGCAGTTCACCCTCTTTCCTCTAAGAGGTCATCAATTCGGGGCAACGGTTCAACATTCTTGACCGTGATAGCATTCAATCCCCGATAATCAATGCACAACCGCAGTTCACCCTCTTTCCTCGGCACGAATAGAACCGGTGCACCGTATGGTGACGAACTGGGCTTTATCCACCCCTTCTCAATCAGCTCATCTAGTTGCCTGCGCAGTTCATCCAGTTCCTTGGGAGACATTCTATAGATTGGGCCCTTGGGAATCTTGCTACCGGGCTCTATTTCAATCCGGTGCTTGACGTCCCGCTCTACTACTCCGGTTGGGGCTTCTCCGACATCAACAAACTCTCGCAGCAGGTTCTCCACTTGGGGCGGCGTCTTGTCTTCACCCTTACTCTCTTCACTCACCAGTTTCACATAGGCCACAAAGACCTGATCTTCCAACTTTTCCTTTGTCACTTGTCGGGCAAACGCAGGGGCACTCATACAACAAACAGATAAGTGGGACTCTAGACCGGACTCATGGAACAATCATCTTTTTCTTGCCCCCGGTGGGGCTGGGCAGCCAGCACTCGTGCTCACCCATCTTGACATCTGATATGGTTGCTTCTCCCTAGTCTATCCCTAAAATCAAGTCAAAGGGAAGGTTGTCTTCCACTAAGAGGGTGAGGGAATGCAAAACCTTCTCTACTTTCCTTCCCTCCTCTAACCGGAAGTATGCCTTGATCCCCTCGACATATTCCTCCACACGCATCTCACGATTATCGGCCAGTCTGCTCACTATCGGCTCGCTCAACTTCTGCACCTTTATTCCTAAGTGCAACTTCTTCAGTCCTCTTCTACTAATAAAACTACGCGTAGAGCCACTATCCACTAAGGCTCCTACTCGTGTTCGATTAATCTCTACATCTCCCAAAATTAGCTGTCCTCTTCTCTTCTTCATTTCATCCCAGGCGGGGCGACGAGTGATCAGCTCATCACCAATGCCTGCGAGGGAACCACCTAGAGAGACCCTAGCACAAGCGGTCTCTGGACAGCCATCTAGGTGGGGGCCTGCATCAGCTTCTGCCATTGGGCTCTTCAGACAGGAGGGTGCCTGTTCAGCGCGCGCTTCTATCTGTCTGTCTAAGTCTGAAGGCCATGTAGGAGCAGCTGCCACCCCTACTGGCTGCTCCCTTTTGGGTAGCGGTAGTCGGGGCAAAAACAGACAATGTGATGAGGATCACCACATTTCAAGCATTGATTGACGTTCAGCCTTTTCTGCCACACTGTCTGGTCRATGCCCATCTCCKTCCAGGSCTCGCCATCAGCAATCCCGGGATGGGCTGGCCATGGCTTGCGCCCTCTACCTCTTCCTCCTGTGAAGGGAGAACCACGTCCACCTTGCGGGGAACCATTACCCCTACCTCCCACGTAGTAGCTACCTTCGCTGCTACTCCCTTGGGTGCCGCGTCCTCTACCTCCACCTCTTCCTCGACCTCCTCTACCTCGGCCTCCTCTACCTGCTTGTCGCCCTCCCCCGCGGGCTGCAACAGCCGCATAGGCCCCTCCCTGGGCTAATTGGTTGCTGTTCGGGTCTTCCAGTCCGTAATCTATGTTTTCGTAGGGTAGAGCCTCCACTCCCCCCTCCTCAAATGTAACTAGAAGGCCGTCCTTCCCCTCGATGTTACCGGATATGGTCTTGTTCTTCCATCGGTTCCCTTTTTGCAAATCCTTCCAATAATGACAGTAATTTGCTTCTTGAAGGAAACCGGCCTGGTCTACAGCAATCTTGCTGAACTTTTCATACGTCATGCCCTCTTCCTTTGTCTGGGCGTACAATTGGGACTTCAAAGGATCGGAAAGTGCCCTTGCGAAGTTGTTCAGAATCTGCGTGGGAGTCAATCCGTGATCGGGACACTGCAACAGTTCGTCCATTGTGGACTTCAAAGCGGACACACTCTTCCACCTGCGATTACCGATGTTGAGAATCAGGTACTCTGTATGCCGGGCCAGGTTCTTGTCCTCGAACCTTTCCTTGAGAGCTTTCATAAAGTCCTCTATGCGGTTGCGTTGGGAATACTCTACCATCGACGAGCAACCCGCTGCATTCATCAAGGATAAGGCGAAGTTGGCAGCGTCCCCTCCAAGACATGAACTGGCCATCAACACACGGTCGTGGTAAAGGATTAACTGCGCATACAGGTATGTGTCCATTGCTGCCTGCCAACACAAAAAGTTCTCTTCTTTCTTCCCGTTGTAGGTCCACGGGACCTTAACCTTCGTCTTCTCCCTCCTTTCTCCTCCTTCAGTTTGCTGTTCATTCCCCTTCCGGTTCACATCTCCTTTTCGATCTCCTCCTTTTCCTTCATCTCCCAGATCTCCACCATCTCCTCCTCCACCACCGCCGCCTATCTTTATTGTTGCGATGGTGTTCACAAGCTTGTTGGTGAAGATGTCTTCTTACTGCGGAGCATAATTGGTGGTCCTATCGTCAATTCGGTGAGTGGATGCGCAGGGGAAATCGTTCCACGTATCCTTAAATTCTTTTTGGTGCCGTTCCAATTTCCCTACGGTCTTCTGCAGTGCGGTCAGTTCCTGGGCGGTGTGCAGCAGGGCGTCGGTCACGAGCGTCAAAGCCTCCTTTGTGTCAGTCTCCTTGCCCCTCTGCTCTTTCAACCTTCGCTGGAGTGCTTCTCCCTCCTCCCGCAGCTTTTTCTTTTCTTCAAACTCCCGCCTCTTTTGACGTAACAACCGCTGATGGAGGAGGTTATCCCTCTCTGCAATTAATAACCCTCTCCTCAGGCTCGGCCTTCTCCAACCTTGCTTCAAATTCCTGCTTCTCCTTCTCGTCCTCATCGGGCATTTCACTGTGGAACCCAAATCTCTCCATCCATTCCCCCTCGCCGCCTTGGTGGATTTGTAAGTGGCTCGCCTGGCCACTTTCTGCACCGTCACCCTTTTCTCTTCTCACCAAACTTTCTTCTTCTTCTTCTTCTTCCGCCTCCATTTGTTTTTTCATTTCCTCCTCCTTCCTCTTCATTTCTTCCTCCATTTTTATTTTCTCTTCTTCTACCTTCTTCTTCAAATCCTCCTCCTTTTGCTTCTTCTTTGCCTCCTTCCTTTCTCTCTGCTCCCTCAACTTCTCAGCAATTTGGGCCTCTTCTGCTGCTGAGTATGGCCGTGTGGTCATACCGGATTTGGTCGTGGTACAGTGTCTAACAGTCCGGTAGAATCCCAGCGGAAAAACAATGCGGAACAGTGGCTCCCATACAACGGAGAGAGCCAAGAAGGCGAGCATGGGATAGTCGTCCATAGCGGTAATTCAGCACAGCAAGTAAGTGTGCTCCACCTCCTCACCACTTAGACCTACTCCCGACACTTATCCTTACCTACTTCAGGGTCTGACTCGAGCTTGACGGGGTTGTTGCTACAGTGACACCTACAGTAACTGACCTGCAGCAGCCGTCACCAAGAAAATACGTGGAAATTTCACCAAAAAAACAGCAAAACGATCCAGCAGGCAGGGCTAAGGGCAGAAAGCACTTCACTTGGGTCTTCACGATGCCGCTCCCCGCCGGTCTTCGTCTTCTGCAGGTGCGTAGGTCTCGTTCCAAACTTGATTTAGCACCTTTTTCCTTCTTCTCGCCTGTTACAATGAAACCCCGACACGCACACACCCGCCGGCCTTATGCCTTGCCGGCTTTCTTCCACCACCGCAGTGCAACGGGTTCCAGCTCTGATACCAGTGAAATGAACCTCTCAAGATTCAACTTAAAATATA